ATCATCATTATACCATACCATACCATGCATGTAGACTCTCACACTGGTTCATTTTCATCTATAAATCCCTCCTTGGTCTGCTACTTTGTTATATCTCCTCTTACATGTCACGCCGTCAGTGCAGTTACAACGTGCACTCTCAGGCCATCACTACTTGCAGCGTTCCCTCGGTGCGGTCTGAACTTGGAAAAAAGGCCTTTTCCTACTCAGCTCCTGCAACATGGAACATCTTACAACAGGAACTGAAGTTGTCCACCTGGATTTCTTTAAGGGGTTTCAAACATTTGATAATGTCAATAGAAAAATCAAAGCAAATATGTTCTTGCTTTTAGTATTTCACCCTGTTTTTCAGCACCCTGATTTATTGTATTGTACCCTACTTTTATTTTAACAACTATACATTTTTTACTGTAGTCAATTGTTTTCATTGTCTACTGTTTTGTTGTCTGTACTTTATATAATAATAATAATAATAATAATAATGTCATCACAATGTCAGCACTGTATGTTTCCATACAATGGCAAAATTAGTCTCTGCATTTAACCCATCCACCACCAGATGGTGCAGTGGGCAGCTATTGAAGGCGCCCGGGGGGCATTTTGGGGATGAGGTGTGCTGCCCAGAGACACCACGTGATATGCAGTGACTGGGGATCGAACCTGGGACTTTCGGGTCCCAAGCCGGCTGCCCTGCCTCTACACCATCTCGGCCCCCTTATAATGTTCTGTCTGGAAAGAGGTCCCTCTTGTAAATGAGTCCCCGTGGCTCAATGAGGCTAGCCTGTATAAATAAAGGTTGTATGAATAGTTGATTGCATTCTGGGGGCCAGAGTGGGCGACATTGAATCTTATCGAAAACTGTTGGCTAAGACTAAATACGGTAAGATTGCTATTCACGTCGGCAAAAATGACACCCGGTTACGCCAGTCAGAGGTCACTAAAATGAATGCTGCTTCGGTGTGTGACCGCGTCCCATCGGTGTATGAATGTGATAAATCACTGATTAGTCTCTTTAGAATGATTGTTCAATTAGCTTTGTAGAGATCTAGTAGAATGCTGTATGAATGAGTAAATGAGGCACAGATTGTAGTGTAAAGCACTTTGAGTGTCTCAGTAAGATAGAAAGGTGCTATATAAGTACAGTCCATTTACCATTTACCATTTACATCCTGGATAGAGAGGAATGACGGTTTGAGAGAGGAGTAAAGGAGGCCATCTTTGTGAAAAATCGTCCATCATTAAACAGGGGTGGAGGCCTCCGGGTTCAACTGTCCCCCTCTTACAATGCTGTGATTGCTAGTATCACTCAGCCCTCTGTGAACAGTAAACAGCCATCAGTGTGCTAATGACCCATTGTTAGGCTGATGGTCCTTCTTGAGCATGTGATCAGCTGGTTCTGGTTGTCAGCAGCAAACTGGTTGATCCACTCTGAGAAGGTGCTATTTAAGAGACTGAGCTGAAAACAGCACCTCAGACTGAGGAAGTCTCTCGGATGAGAGACGAAACGTTTCTACATTTTATTTTCGTTTTGCTTTGTTTTGTTTTTTGAATGTCCAGAGGACCAGATTTAACTTTTTAGATTTTTCTACCTGGATTATTGAGCATGCATCAGGATATCTGCTTAACCTGTTTTTTATTTGCAATTATTTTTTCTATCCTTGACGTGGTTTTGTCTTTCAGGTACACCTGCACCTACATCTGGACCTGCCATTCTGTGTTTGTTTGTCTCTCCTTCCAATATTATTTTGAAAAATCGCAATAGAGCGGATCCACGAAAAATGAACCACGAAGTAGCGAGGGACTACTGTAAAATGAAAACTAAATAAAAGTAGTGATATAAAATAAGATAAAAAGAAGCTACATTATGAAATCAGGTAAAATACTAAAAACAGGAACATGTCTGTCACCTCTGCACTTAAGACGAGTTCCTGGAACTGTGAGGAGCAACTGGTCCGCTGACCTCAGGGAACGTGGATGGACATACGGTTGTAGCAAGCATTTGGAACAGTATTTTGGTGTATGGACTGATTAAAGATGTGTGACAGCAGTTCTGCTATAATTTGTGCAGCTAGCCTTAAGAAATATGGAGGGAGGTTATCAGGGCCTACAGATTTGCTAGAATCCAGATCTTTTAATTATTTTTTAACCATACTGACAGAGAACGGTGAAAATGAGAAGGTGTGGTTTATTGAGGTATGATATGGGAGAAATTTGATTTATATAAGTTTGGCTTGAAGGAGAAGTAGTTGGTTCTCCAATAGTGACTGTGTCAAGCAAGAAGCTAGAGACAACAAAATGTTTGTTGAAACAATTTAGAATCTCATGTTTATTTGACACAGGAACAGAGTTAACAAGTAATTGTGGTGGCAAGTCAGATGATAGGGAGCTGCCAGAAAGCGAATGACAGTTTTCCAGAATATTTTAGGGTCATTTAGATCTTTAATGGTCTGAAATAATCATGTATAATGTACAATGTTAATCAAAATGGAACAAGTTCCAGAGTAAGGCCTGTTCACTAAAAAGTTTCATGTTCCGCTTTAGAATTTCTAAGTTTAGAACGGGGCATTTTATTATCTCTAATGGTACCAACAACGCAGTGATCACTCATATCATTTGCAAAAACACCCCAAACCAGAAAACTTATGTGGCATATTTGAGACATATTTCAGGGTGAGTGTGGTTGTCAATGATTTGGTTGAGACTGAATGACAAACATTATTAGATGTACACTCTATTTTTAATTCAATTCAGTTCAGTTTATTTATATAGCACCGAGTCACAACAGAAGTCATCTCAGGGCACTGTACATAACTTTCACATACATGAAAAGTCAGTTAATAACGTTATTTATCCAAGTAATTAAAATTTTATAACGTCAAAAACAGACTTGTTACTTTTGTTGTTGTTTGAGCTACTACTTTTAACCGTTATTGTGTATTGTTTAGTGCATAACTGCATTATTTAAAAGGAATTAATGGTAAAACAGAGCATTTAATAATGTGTTTATTTTTTGAGAGCAATATTTTGGCTCTAAACTATAAGACGTGATAGATCTCAAATAGATGCAGTGGAATTGTTATTTTTTTAATTATAATTTATTTCTTACAATAAACACCAAGAAATATTGTGATAAAATTAAATAAGTTTATTTTGCCAATCCGTAGAAACAAAGTTTAAGTTAGGGTAGATTTCACTATTCATAAAACTGATTGCTACATTTTTATCCATGAGCATGTTTATTGCAGAACATGTTTTTACTTTTCTACTACAAACCAAAACTAAGTGTAAAAGTAAACCTGTTGTTCTGTGCATGGACACCTACAAAACAAATTGTTTAGGCCTTTGCTTCTTTCACTCCATGATAAATGTCAGCGACTCTCCTCCTGAACATATATCAGAGGTTATTTGAGCTTATTTGTCCATTCCATTGTGCACCTCAATACAGTTGAAATTCATTTCTGTCTGTTTGGCAGTGACAGAGACTGAAGGACGAGGTAACATGGCTGGCTGGCACCCTCTTGTATCTGTGTCTGAGCTGCTGAGCCATCACAGGCCTTATTCCCCAAGTTTACCACAAACAAACAAGTGTGCACACAAAAAAACCTTCAACTCTCTGCATTGAGCCTAACAAACTGCTCTTCAGTTGAAATAAATGTCTAAACATCTGGAGTGGTTGTTGAGTTTAATCATACTTTTGTTAAGAGTCACCTCAGCAAGTGAAAAAAGGCACAAAGAAATTGATTGTGTTCTGGCGATACAATCATCTTATACAGTTTGTATAGGTTTCAATTTCAGCAGAAACTCAAATACAGAAGGTTTCATTTCCTCAATAAAATAGTGTCTTTCAGAAACTTCTACTCTCTTTTGAAAAAGAAAACTAAAGTCAATGACACAATTTTAAAGAAACATAGTCAGCGGTTTGTTGGGGTGTAGTGTCCATTTTTAGAGCACAGTAAGCTGACAAGTAAACATATTACGTTTGGAAGTTAAGACTAAAATCCAAGCTTGAAGTTTCTCCACGTTTGGACATGGACCTCGCAGATGTGCTGGAGTTAAAGCAAAGGTTAAAGCTACTGTAATGGCCACGCTCGTTTCAGTGATTTCTGATATTCAAAATGTTTGTTTGGCCTTTAAACACTTACACTATTACAGAGGTTCACTGTAGAGAAACTCTTACGGTATTTATTGCAGTATTCAAAGTCAGTGAGATCAAAACTATCTCAATCAACTCCACTTTGTTAACACAGGTCAGCAGAATGTACATAAATTCATTTAAATGTTAAAGGCACTTTGTTTAATGACTTAAGCTGCAAAGCCAAGAAGATGTTTAAATATGGCAGGTATGAGGCTGAATCACCATGTTTACCGTCAGGATAAACTAAAAATGATTAGTAAAAATAAAATAAAATAAAAATCAAGAGATTCTCAGGAAAAATCCCAGTAGTAATTGGTGTAAAACATAAAATCTTTGCTGGAAAGCTGCATGTCATGCAGTTTGGAAGAGACAAAAGTGCATTTGGAAAGAAGGAATGTAAGACGTAAAAATTAATTTGAAATAAAACTCTTGAAATTCAAGAGTAGTAGCACCTCTGCTAATATTTACAATAGATTTTCTTTGTTGTAAACTCTTAAAATAAAAGAGTAAATGGCTGCTTCAAGCTTTAACTATTACGTGGTCTGACAAAAAAGGCACCTTTTCCTTCAGAGAACATGAAAAAGTTATTTGAGGAATTTGAGCTGCTCTGCTATTTGATCACAATCAGATTCTGTTGTGTTAAAAACTGCAGCCAGGTTCACCCAGAGGTGCCTTCTGGTGCTTGATGAGAGTTCAAGTATTGGAAGGTAATCACACCGATATAAAGGAGGGGTTATAAAACAGAACATTGTGTGGGGTTGTGCTGGTGGAGTCATCACCAAGCAGTGAGTTATCCATTGTTTTAATGGGGACACTGGAACTCAGCCAAGGCACAACTCACTGAACGGGTCAGGAAGAGAAGAGCTCAGAGGTCAGTGGTGATGACAGGAGTGACACCATGGATGAGTAGTGTGGGTCCCAAATCCTGAGTAAGAAGTTCCAGCTGACGTAAATAAGCTGGGTAGCGGCGTGTGTCAGCTGGGGGGCGGGGCAAGTACAGGAAACGCACACTAGGAGGTGGCCTGGATTGATCTAGGATCAGCCCGTTGACAGCTGAGAGGTAGTCATCTGATACACGGGTGGCATTACTCGGGAAGCTGTTAACGAAATCATCTTCATCCTCTTCGACAGCTCTCTCCTTGTTCTCGTCTGCTGCAAGGCCCGGAGGCCGTGACTGCTCCTTCCTGCTCCAGCTGCCCTGGCGCTGCCAGTGTAGTGCCACCACCTGGTCCCAGGGCACAGTGCGCACCTGAGCTTTAATTCTCAACTCTTTCAGCAGCTGGCCGAGTTTTTCCTCTGAGCCCCTTACACTTTGCCCCTCCTCTACACATAGGAAGAGGCGCAGCTTTGCTTTACGCCAGGCTTTCACCATGTTAAGGATACATGCTAGCTGTAGCAAGAAAAGAGAGCAAGTATCAACATAGCTGCAACTGTCTGGCCGCATCAGGTTAATTGGCCAGACATCAACAAACACCTTCCCGGGGGATGATGGCGAGAGGACTTGGGCTCTATCAAAATCATTGAAGTATCGAGCTAATACCACATTTTTAAGCATCTTCATGGCATCACTAATGATTGCTACATACTCCTGAGGGCCAAGAACCTTCCCATCCCCAGATTCCCCATAATCATGTCTGTCACTTGACCCCCGCAGGAGGTTAAATAGGAAAAGAGGAGGTTGCTCAAGCTCTTGGGAATGGCTGAAAGGATCTGTGGACTCGCTGGAAGACAGGGAGGGATCGATCAGCTTGTCTCTTGGAAGACAGTCATCATAAAATCCAAGCACCAAGGTGTTAGGCCGCATCCCACCTAAAAAGTTTAAGAACAAAGTAAAATGGATAAGGAAGGGAATGACAGAAGGAGTTTGTTAATAATAACCTATTTTTATTTGTCAGAGGCATTTTAGGAGGTTTTAAGTAATGAGTTAAGGTATTCTACTGAATAAAGCTTTGACTAAAAACAGCTAAAAATGGAAATAAAAAGGCAGAGTAGATAATGGGAAACCTGCACAAGTGTCAACACACAAGAAAGCAGAAAGACAGTAAAACGAATGTACATCTGCATTAGTGCTTTAGAAGGTATCTTCCACTACTTCTTTTCTGCTTTGGCAAATGGAAAAATAAGAGCAACAAAACAAAAAGTTGTGTTCTCTTCTCAGTGAAAGCTGTCATCATCTGTGGCCAACATATTCTTCATCTGATTGCATGCACTGGAACCTGATGTCAGTACTATAATGATTCAGTACAAATACTCATACTGTAAAGTGCTATGTGTTGTCATTGTATGTTTCTATACAAATACAAAACTAGTTATCTGCATTTAACTCATCACACGTGATACGCCCAGGTGGAGAAGTGGGCAGCTATGCAGGCTCCCATGTGGGCATGGCAAGGAATTGCACCTGCGACTTTCTGGTCCCAAGTCGGCTGATCTACCTCTACACCATCTCAGCCCCCCGTTACAAACCTAGTCCATAATGTTACTGAATAACAAATACAAATTAAGCAGCACTGTGTGTCAGCCCTCAGGTAACATTGAAATGCGATGTTTTGATTTTGTTAGGAGGCAGCACGGTGGCGCAACTGGTAGAGCTGCTGCCTC